TGTGCCTGACACTGTTCAAGCACTTTAATAAGTATTAACTCATTTAATTTTCATAAAACTCTATGAAATAAACACTATTATTATTCCCATTTTCGAGGTAAGGAAACAGAGATAGCAGAGATAACTCATGTAATTTACCCAGAATCACTCAACTAACAAGTGATAGAAAGGAGATTCCATCCCAGCACCACCATCAACCCAGATCTCCCAACCTGAAATGGAAGATGTATCCTAAACAACTCTTTCTCAGCTCACATCAAAATTGCCACTAGGTTCCAGTGATTTTTTTTTTTTTTACCTCTTTAGTATTTCTCTAATTCATTCTTCCTCTTTAACTCTAGTGTCTTAGTTCAGTCCTTTATAGTTTCTTTGCTGAAACACCTCAGCAGCCTTCTCACTTTTCACTGTTCACCTCCCAATACATCCCCAACATTGGCAAGAGTCATTGTTCTAAGACCAAATCTAATCATGTCACTTCCCTGCTTAAAACTACCCAGTGATTACCCACTGCCTTCATGATAAAATCCAAATTCCTTAGCATAATATATAAGGCCAAGAATCTTCATGTGCCACTGCCATTCCATACAAATCCGGCAATGCAGACATACACATTTCCTACAATTTCTGGAAGGTGTAATGCTTGTCCACCAATATGTGCCTTTTCAGATCTCTTCTTTTACCTTTAAGCCCCTCTAGGTTGGAAGAGGCGACTCTTCCCTTATGTTCTTACTTGTTTGTCTCCACTATTTTATTGAGACATCTCTTGAAAGCTAAGTTCATGACTTCTATTTCTGTCCATCCAAATTTTCCCATGGTACTCGGCACATGTAGGCATCAGCAAACAAACGATAAAAGGACACACAAGTGAAATACTTTAAGCTTATCTCAAGTGTGTTATCAGACTAATGAGACAACCACTAAACAAAGAATGAAACTGAGTTTGGCATTTGTGATGCAGCTGTAGCCCTGTTAGCAAAGCTTTGATCTTAAACTTCCCCTTCTAATTCTAGCATTATAATTCTACTCTACTAAAAGTCAATTGATACCTTTTGCCAGCACCAGTTGCCTTAAAAGCAGGACCACCAAGAAATATAATTCCACAATGTTGGAACTTGGATCAAATGGCATCATATAGCAGAACTCTGGCAGTGCTCTGTGCCAATGTCCACATCTATTAAGTTTGTTTACTAACTAGTCTTATTATCTATTTCATGTTGGGATTTCTTTAGGGTGTGGTAAAATTTGACAGATGGGTTGAAAGTCTTCCTTCAGGCATAATACACATAGAATTAGGCAGATGGGTTCCAATAATCAACCTTTAAGCCTGGAACACATGGACAGAGCAGGAAGAAAAAGAATACACCATTGTTTGGTAATAGGTAAAAATACAGTTGAGAATGGACAAATTTAAAAATGAGATTTAAAATGTACAAATCAAAACCAGAAAGTGGCACAGTGTCACTTCCCTTCAAAGGTACAAATTTTCAGGCAACAAGTTTTTATTATAGCAATAACCTCAGAAACCTAAAAATAACTTACGGAAAAAGACCAATCCTAGCAATAGAAAATGTCAACCTGAAATAAGTTTTCTAGTAACAAGAATAAGGCTCAGTTTTATTTAATATTTCTATCAGTTAACTGGATGAGGATTTTATAGGATATTAAATAAATGGACAAATGATATTAATCTTGGAGGAAAATATCAGAATCCAAAAGGATTTCTCCAGTGTGTAAAGATGGATTGAAATAATAAAATGAAGAGATAAGTAAAAAAGTATTGCACTTATATCCCCCTAAAACCCAAGAGAAAACTAAATAATCTCTATACAAGTGTACAATGTAGAAAGATGTGTTTGAGGCAGCACATATAAAAAGAGTAAGAATTAGAGTTGACAATATAGTTGGCAGGACCAACAGCATGATATGGCTGGACAAAGAGGTCTGTTTGATCTTTGGCTGTATTAACAGAAGAATCCTATGTGTTACGATAGCTGGAAGCTGACTATGCTGGATAGCTTCCACTGACACCTCCATTTCCAAACTCTGCCCTTCCCTACGCTGCTCAGTGCCCTGGGATGCTGCTGACCTGCATGCGCTACATCAGTGAGGTCTCTTTTACTTAGAGTTCCAGTTGGGTTTGGCCAAATGGTAGCACGAGCAGGAGACAAGAGAGGAAAGAAAGTGAAATCAGGGTCTTCATTCCCATAGGTCCCTCCTGGTACTGAGTGAGTCCCAGCCATACAAGAGGTCATGCCGCTGCCTGGCAACCAAATCCACACATCACATCCCCCTCATTTCTGATTCCAGGAATGACTTCCTTTTCTTGCTTCTTTGGGGCAAGGGGTGGTAAGCACGCTCTGCTGTTACTAGCCTTGGGGTATGCCCCATGCCATTTGGATTTTTGCAAATGGTTCTTTCATTAAAATCTCAAGTTGTCCAATTCAGTATGATGTTTATTTTTTCCAGGCACCCTGACAGATAAACTAACATTTATTAAACACCCACTATTTTCCCAGTGATAGTAGTAGCTGTTATGTTTAGTGGTTTCCACAGCCCTCTGAGGAAGGTTGTGCTGTTGCCATACATTTTACAGATGAAGAAATGGAGGTGCCCAGAGGCTCACTTGCTTAAAGTCAAACAGCAATAGGTGACCAAGCTAGATCTGATCTCAAGCACCTGACTTAGAGCCCGTTATGGTGACTGCTATACTCATTTCACTCTGTTGAGAATAAGTCAGGGCCCACCTGGGAATAGTTCTTTATCCCTGGCTTCATACTTTCAGAGAAATTAAACAAAACAGAGATGCATTTAGAGGCAATGCCGGGAAAAGTGAGGGGATCACATAAGTCTGAGAAATGTGGAGGGAATGCAAATTTGTAAAAACCTTTCCGGAAAGCAATTTGACAATATGTATCAATGACCTTAAAACATGCACTTATCCTTAGGCCCATTAATTCCACTTTGAAAAATCTATTGTAAGGAAATAATCGGGGATATAAATAATGATTTAAGTGCTAAGATGTTCACTGCAGAGTAAGATACGAGGACAAAATCTGAAATAACCCAGATGTTCAACAATAGAAAAATGATTAAATGAATTATTATATACGTAGGCATGTATACATACACACACACACATACTCATATATATTATGGAATATTAAAGCTATCAAAATTGTGTCTTTGAAATATAGTGAATCGGGGAAATTCTCACATTGTTAACATAAGATCCAAAAGATTATCAAACTGTACACCCTACATGTTAAAGTCTGGGTGTGTATGTGTGCATGTACGTGTAGGAAAAAAATGATGTTAAGACAAGATACAAAATATTAACTGTGGTTATCTTTACATTTGGGAATATGAATGTACAACTTTCTATTTGTTCTTCTGTATTTCCCAGTTTTATACAATAGTTTGAAAAATAAAACTTATTGTAGAACATGAATAACTATGATTAAAATGATACAACTATAACTATATAATCATAACAATAACTATGATTAAACTAGTTATGACTTAACTATGGTTAACATAATAGGAACTGCATAGCCTAAGAAAGAGAAGATTCAAGAAAATGCGAATGAGGGGCTATCACGGGGAAGGGAGTTTGACACTCATCCTGTGTGGATCAAATAGAAGAACCTGAACCAACAAAAATTGGAAGAAGACAGACTTTTACTTAATAGAAGGAAAAGAATTCTAATGAGATTTTTAAAAGTGGGAACAGATTGTCTCAAATTTTCTGTCACTAGAAGTACTCAAGGAGAGGCTTGACCAGAATTTTTCAGGAATTTTCCTACAGCGATTTAAACCTTGGACAGGTAGTTAGGCCTAGAATTCTCTCCCACCAGAGATTCTAAAATATGAATGCTACTGAACAACAATATCTAAATGTTTCCTTACCATCAGAGATTTATTTCTTTGGGGTGAGGTATTATCATTTCTGGGAATTCTCTTTTAATCTACTTTTTGGGGGCAAAATGGAATGCCTTACTAAGTTCAAAAGTAGTTCGTTTGGCGGCAGGGAATACACGTCTTTTCATCCTTCTACACTTACTGCCTACAACAGTTCCAAGTACACAGTCCACCTGTCACAACTTACGCTTTTTACTGAAGTAAGACAATGTACCAGGCTCATTAATACACTACCCCAGATCCACTCCATCCTGCCTGTCCCTCCGCCTCAGCAACACGCCTCTCTTCCCAGCTGGAAGAGCCTCATCTCCAGGCACCCTTGAGCCTGTGGCCCCTCCACTAGCTGCCCAGGGAGCCACGAAACATAACAAAGACACAGGAGTTAAGTGGTTTGGGGTGGACCAGATGAATTGCTTGCCTTCTCCCCAGCATTCTCTCCTTATTGTCCCAAGATGCGGTGGTTCTTTAAGGCTTCTCTCAAGGCATTTCACATAGCCAAGCAGACAGCCACGTTTCCTTGAGAAGCTGTGGCTACCTTGTGTTTGCTTTCCCTCCCTTTCTCCTTCACTTCTCTTTCCCTTTACTCACTGCACTGTGATCATTTGCCCCAGTAAAGCAAGAACACATAAGCTCTGCTCTCAGGACTGTTTTCCCAAGGGTCTGCACTAAGATAGCAATTGACATTTTATTGTAGTTTAGTTGATGGAAGGATAACAAACCATTCTACGAGATCTTCTTGAAAGAGTGAGCCACACGTAAGTTCTCATCCAAAAAACTAGAGGGGGAATTGATCTCAGCCTGGAGGAGACAAAAGGAAGCCTGAAACGAGCAGCACCATGAAGACCCTTCAGCCAGAAACATGGCCTGATGACTGTGGGTAGACACAGAGAATGACCAACAAAAGCCACCTCCGTCTGTATCTAAATCTTACCGAGGACAAGCTTTACTAGTAAACTCACCCTCTGCCTTAGCCCTCCCCAAACTCCATTAAGCAACCTGCTGGATGATACAGTCATTTCCCAAGGCCGTTCTCACAGAGCTTAATTCCCACTGTGCTCCCAATCCTCGTGCCCTTTACTCACCAACTTTCAGCTCCCCGCCTGCAATGACCATGCACGCCACACTCAGAATGTTGCTTCTGTCCACAGGGAATTCTAAAGTCCCCATCACATAGAGGCCTTTGAGGAATGGAAGATCTGTATCCACCAGGACAGTCCTGTCTGCAGAAGAAAAAGAAACTGCTCAGACATGTAACCAAAACAAGAATGCCGTCTCTCTTCCAGTGATTTACGCTGGGTTTCTCCACGCAATTCAGGTGTGGCCTACGTTGCTACCTATGCCAGGACAGGTGCAGTAACTGGAAAAGCAAATAGCTGGCCAAAGGCTAGGACTTAATAAAGAAGCGTGGGAAAAAAAGTAGGCATGACTAACAAATTCTGCCACTGTTTAGCACACTAAGAGTTATTCCCCAAATTGCTTTTGCCCCAAATAGCGGCCCCAAGGCTACTTTAGTGCAAACGTACAGATGAGCTCCCTATTTTTTGTCCCTGTCTCTTCACTTTGGCTCTAGTTTCAGAGAGAGAGAGAGAGAACCATAGATATGACCTTGGCCTCTGAAGTCAGACAATTGGGATGTGAATCCCAGCTCCGCTACTTACCAGCTGTGTGGACCAACAACTTTACCTCTCTGTGCCTCAGTTATCTAATCTGTGAAATGGGAATAATAAAAATACCGGCTTCATTCACAGGGTTTTTGTGAGGGATAAATGAGTTAATAGATCTAAAGTGCTTATACAGTACTGGTAAGCCATTCTCAATCCCCAATTCTCATCATGCAAAGCAAAGTATCTCAATAAACCCTGGATATTGTCATTATTTGTACTGTGTGTCCATTAGTTTGGCATGCTTGTAGAGCTCATCGGACAACTTAAAACCACTATTCTTCATCTCCTCTTTCATAAAGGTAGATTCCATACAACTTCAGAAGAAAGAATCATAGATTTTGTCTGCAAGTAACAATAGAGTAATACTTGAATAAAAATTCTCATTTAAAACAGTAAATATTTTATGTATGCTCAAGTATCAAGTGCTACTGTCTGAAGCTTAGTAGTAATTCAATACAAATTAAAGATATCAAATAAATGTTTCCGCTTAAATTTCAATACCATAATCACTGGCACATATAAAGATTTTTAAGGAATTTTATGAACATAATCTCAGGTCTTATTCTAGGAAACAATGCCCTCTGCTGTTCTCAAGGACCTGCCCCTAACATTAACTTCTAATGAGTTGTCTTTTCTAGTCCCTGCCTACTTCCCTAGCTATAAGACCGCCACACCTTCCTGTGGCAGAGACTATAGAGTTGTAAACCAAACGTTTCCCTTTTCCTCCTGGCTTCATTCTCAGACTACCTTTTCCAGCCTGCTTTGTAGTTAGATGAAGTCATGTGACTGAGTTGTAGTCACTGAAGTGTAGGCAGAATTGAAGTGTGACATCTCTAGGCCTGGTCCATAAATTCTGGCGCTCCCTCCTTCCCCTTGTCTCTCAGTTGGACAGTAGAACAGTGGTTCTTAAGGTATGCTCGTGGTCCAACAACATCAGCACCACCCACTCACCCATCAGAATCAAGCCAAGTTCTAGCTCTGCTAGTAAGCCATCCCCAGTTCCCCCATTGGATCCACCACACCCCCTGTGGAAATCTCTCTCTTTCACTCTCCAATGATACCTTGTACATTCTTATTACAGAGCCCTAAAACACATTATTGTAATTATATACCTAATTACTATATGTAAGGAGGCAACTGTCACTGGGCTGGTCCTCAGTGTAATTATGTCTTTCTCTTCCACTGTTACTCCCATACGGGAAGAGACTATCCGTTTTTAAAAATCCCTAGTGCTTATTGTGGCATCAAAGATAAAGATGTTAAATAAATGTCATCCAGATCTGTTGAGTTTAGTTCCCTAGACACCTTAAATTCAAAAGTTTATTAGTGACTGATACAAAATGAATAATCAGGCTAAACAAACAAAAATAAATACATATTTCAATTTAATCTCTGGTACTTTTAAAACATCCAAACAAAATAATAAAATATCTAGAGAATGTTCTAGATTTAACTGACATTTTATGGGTTCATGAATTTAATATTACTTCAAAAGCAAAATAGAAATTGTTTCAAGCCAACAAATTAAAAAACAAAAGTGTTATACAAATGGCATTTATCTGTTCCAACCTATGACCCATTCTCCCAGTGCTTGGCTGTTGTGGCTGATTGTACAAAACAATTAAATTGCTTCAATCAGTGTTTTCTCCCATCCACAGAGTACTCACACATACACAAAAGCATGATATTAGGCCTTTTTTTTTAACATACTTCTCAGTTAAAATATGACAATTACGTGGAATTTAAAATTTTCACTTTGCTCTTTATCACATACCCCCTTAAAAGAAATTTTTTCTTTTAATTGCCCTGCCCACTCCAAAATACCAGCAAATTTCCCACAAATCACAGATAGCCTAACTATTATAAGCTCCATGAGAACAGAGACCACGACTGCCACTCTCATTTTTACTTGCTCAGCACCTAGAACAATACCTAGCATATGATAAGTGCTCAAAAATAACATCAAATTATGAGTGCAAACACATACACACACACACCCCACATGTAAAATCCAATAGCTATCAGAGGAAAAGTATAGGATGAAGACAAGAGTAGAAACACTGCTCTTATTTCTTTCAGTGCCACCTTTCACTTTGAAATTTCTGGAATCCATCTATTCGCCTTTTCTTCTTTCCTCCTTTTCTTCCCCATGATGTGTCAAATCTCATTGGGTGGTGGGAATTCAAAGATGAGTGAGACATGTTTCCCAGCATCAGACAAAGACAGATAAACAAATGAACACAACGTGATATACTTGAAATGATAATATACTTTTTCACTCCTCTGATTGACTGGATTGTCTTATTTTTTATTATAAAGAGGTGGATCTCATCTTCAATCCTAGCTACCATGAAATGGAAAGTCTATCAATGTGCCTATTATAACAAAATTCTGCTAAGATAAAATAAACATATGTCCTATAAAGATTTTTATAAAGGAATTCTCCTTGTATCACAATAACAGAGATTACAGCTATGATTGCAAATGACACAGGCAAAAGAATTCATCCTAAGGTAGTCCCTGGAGCAGATCAGCTGTAGGTCCAAACTGACCAACCATCAGCTATAATGATAGCTTGTCAAAGATTTCTCTCTGTTCCAAGTATAGAAAGTTAGGATCAATATGCCACATTCTCTAGAAGTAGCATCCCTTCCATGAAATTACTCAAGACATTTCAGAAAAATCACTCAGAAACAGTTACTTATATAACCCACTTAAAAACACAAATGATAAACCACCTCTAATTTAACTGTGGCCCGATGCTTTTCACCTTGCCTTGACTTGGCCAAGGCTATTCCATCCTACTCTGTCAGTGACCAATCTATCCTACTTAAGAGAATGAGTACTGGCATATGGAGGGAACCATCTGGAATTTCTGTTGCTCGATAGGAGGCTGATGGGGGAACAGATCTGGAAAGAGACTCCAAAAAGAATTAATGAGTACCAGATGTAATTAAAGACTGCTTTTCTCCCCAAAGGAGCTCAGGACCAGCCATGGGGTGGTGCCTTTTGGTTCCGAATTACACCCTCTTTCCACTTGTTCATCCATCAAGCACTAAACATCCCACCATCTTTATTCTAGTATCTCTTGCTAAGCAGTGTTTTGTTTTGTTTTGTTTCCCTGAAAGGGTTGTATTTTGACAATTAGAAGGATAAAGCTTTAGAAATAATATCTGGAAAGTTAACGCTAAGGAGTAACCATCTGAATTTCCCCATGTATCAAATGCAACAATAAAAATAACAACAACAAAGAGGCTTTAGTCTTCTATAAATGCATTAGCTACCCTCAAGACCAGAAAGCCTGAGCCACAGCAAAAGGCAAATGTCTCTGACAGAGGGCTAGGGCTTCTTTTGTATCAGGAATAATCTGACTACCATAGTTACAAAGCATTCCATATAATTTTAACACTTGATTTAAACTCAATTTTTTTTCCAGCAAAGTCCAGGAATCAAGGTCACTATTGTGTAGCATTCCAAGGGCCTGACACTTGCCTAAATCCTGTAGAAATGAGATCAAGGGCGAAGGGCACAGATCCTGGGAATAATGACGGGGTCACATGAACAGGCATAATTCAGAGCAGGCAGACCCACTGCTTGTATGGTATTCACTGTATCAGGCCCCATAACTTAGGTGGTGAAGACAGTTTCCACTACAACCCTGCTATTGTCAGGAGCACAGTCGACACCAACTTTGGACATAGCTCAGACTTCTGAGGGAGAGGGATGGCATGCAAGGGCAGAGCAGAACATACAAGGACTATTTGTAGGCTTGTTATTTTCTTGTACCTTCCATAATTAATGGGTTGGTTTCTACATCCAATCTTGGCCCCAATACTTTCTCATAAATATGTGAACCAATGGAAAAGTAGGTTTTAATGCCATTTGAATCATTATTAAATGATGCAATCTTCCTTTTTAAAAAGAGAATATTTTTAGTTCTGAAGTGACTACTTTAAATATACATATTTACACAATGATTGGTGATGTTTTCTTTCCTTTGTAGTCTCATTTAACTTTTGGTGAATCTAATGATTTATCCATATATTCTATCTATCACAATTTATGAGGATGGCTGATAGATCCAAAAAAAGTACTCCTAAAATAGAATGCAACTTCTTATACATAAATAGTTCATAGGAATGAAAGGTTAACATGATTGAAAATTAATGTCAAGTAGGCTAATTTACAGAGATGATGGTATTCGTTTGCCAAGAATTCATTCTCTTGTAGAAAACGCAGAACAAAGAAGTGCTGAAGATAAGGATGTCTTCTTTCTAGAACTAAATTCCTCTCAAAGAGCTGCTAACTTTACGGTCTGCCTTTTTAATCAAATCCACACAGGTGGTTTCTTTATTCTACCCTGCCTATCTTTTTTTTCAAACTGGTCTTAAAAATAGGCAGAAGAGGCAGTTTGCAAAGTGCCCAGAGGCGCATGATTCAAGACTGCAAGCCGGCTTCCTTACACCTTGAAGAAAAACCATCTGCCTGCCTGGTGTGGGGGAGGACAGCTCTCCACATTCTCACCTCATGAGAAGAGTCCAGTTTAAATTTTGGAT